AGGCCCTGCCACTCTGAAATGTCATTGGATGTGATGAGGAAAGTAGTTTGTCAGCTCGGCTGCGAGATGAGGCTTAGATTTTTGTCACTGGTATACCGGCCCTCCTAAAGAAGGTCTTTTTAAAAAAAATCAATGGTCTTAGCAAGACATTAACTTGGTGAGAAAGTAGCCGAACTGTGTATTTTTTCCTAAGTCTAGCATTTCCATGTTTCTTCTTTTAAAAAAGAAAAAAAAACAACAAAGAAACAAAGCACCCAAAGCTGGTTCAGGGCAAAACACTCATTACAGTGGGCCATGATCTCTTGAAATGCCATGTGTTTGCCCAGCAGCGTGGGGAAGCCTCCCAGTGCCCCGTGCCGCCGGCTGCTGTGTTCCCGTCTCTCCCTGGGCTGACTGTGCTGCTGGCTACACCTGCTGAGCTGCTTGAGCACAGCAGCCTGGCAAAAACCAGTCTTCCACCCCTCCTTTTTCTGGACTATTTCGGATCAGAGTCTAATAGGAACTGGAGCTAGCCCGGGCCGGGAAGCATGGTGGAGGGCAGTGGTGGCTAAAGGCTGCTGGGGAAGCATCCCTTGGGGCACTGCAGAAGGGCTAGTTATGCTTCCTGTATCCCAGGGTTTTGATCAAACTTGGATGAGTAGGAGAATAAGTTAATTACTTCGTGGGGGCACAATGGCTTAAGTCCTCATGAGGAAGAATATAAAGGGAATTTACTCCTAGGTTTTTCTGGAACCTGTCCATTGGAGAAAGATTTGGGAGGGAATCACAGACTATTTGAAAGAATTTGTGGGCAAGCCAAGTAAGGCCTCATTAGCTATGCAGAACATTAGGATATGTCTTTCTAGCAAAATATACACGGTGCACAGGCTCCGTGATCATAATTCCCAGATACATGTGCATGCTTAAACCTCACGAACATTTCTGTTGAAATGAACAGCAGGACTGCTGGTGTGCAGCGTTAATGATGTCTCTTGTGAGCCAAAGATGTACTTGTAGCTAGCATTTGAAGGTCTGTATGGAAGTGAACATAAACTAAAGGTCATTATAGCACCCAGTTTCTTGGGAGCAGTTTTGCTGTTGCAGATTAGCAGATTTTACTTGACAATAGTCAAGTCAGTACTCTGCAGAAAATATCCCCAAACACAACTAAACCAAGAATTATATTGAAGATCTAGTTTATTGTTAGTCAGCAATTCATTTCTAGAATTCATAGCTAATTTTTGTCCTAATCCTTTAGGTACCAGAATTGTTTCAAGCTCTGGAACGTGTTTGAGTCTGTAGGTGTCCGTTGAGATTGTCTTGTAGAAAATGAAAGGTGCCCAAAGTGAAGAAATCCAACCAGCTTTGCTTTGCCTGTGCTGATTTCGTCTGAGTGCCTAAATTAATTAAGTGTGCAGACTGCACAGCTGAAACCTGGCATCTGCTGTTTGAGTGCTGTCAAGATAGGATTTTGGAAGCAGAAATGGAACCTAATCCTTTACTAATCTTCTGTACTTTACTGGATCTATTTGGTATCAACAGCCTTTGCTTCTGTTGAAATCTGTGTAAATCAGAAACTGGGATTATAAGATCGATTATTATGACACCTAATGTCATCCCATCTGCAGGAATAGAGGGGTTTAATTAGAATTGCTTTCTTGGAGAGAAGGAGCAAACCCAGTTGATTCATATGCCTTGCAAAATGCTGTGCATGTATTACTAATTCAGTAACTTATGAATTGTACCCACAAATAAAATTAGGGGAAGGAGGAAGGTTGCGTGCAGTTAAGTGAAATCTAAGACACTTGTTCTTTATCCAGGGGTTCAGTATGCATGTGTAGTCTTTCATAAAAATATGTTC